ATCAATTATTGTTTCCATTGTACAGTTGAGAAAATTGAGGCTCAGAGAGGTTAAGTTATTTGCCCAATGTCACATAACTTAGTAAAGGAAGGAGCCAGGACCCACCCCCAGGACAATGGGGCTCTAAAAGCCCAAATTTTTAACCCCCAAGCTGCATTGCCTCTCATACCCTGCTGTAATCACATGTACTTCATCCTGATGTGGCAGCAGAAAGACAATGTGAAAAAGGTTGAAGAGAAAGAAGTTGAACCATAAGAATCTGCTGCCTTTTGTCCAGCACTATCCAAGGCCAAAGACCCTGAGTCTGGTAGATTGGAGCCTCTGGAGTAGTTATATTTTCTGGAACCAAGAAAACTGGGTGAGTTTCCCTGGAGACCGTCAAATGCTAAACTGTCCTTTTTCCTTCCCTCTCTCATCTTATGTGTATAGAAACCCGGGTGGATTTCCCACACTATGCTTGATTCTGGAGATACAATGGTCCCAGGCAGGACAAACAGGGAAACAAAAAAAATGCAGCTCAACATGGTCATTGCCATTTATAAAAGAGAGTTGGTGGGAACACAGAGGAGGGAGATGGTGACCAATCTTGCAAGAGAGGATCAAGGCCCAGAAAGGCTACTTAGAGGACATGATACTTGAACTAAACGTTAGAGAAATATGTACCACATTTTCTTGTGGCATATTTAGGGTTTTGCTTTTTACATTTAAATTTTTTAATGCGCTGGGTATTTATTTTGGTATAAGGAGTGAGGTTGAAATCTAACTTAATTTACTTTTTCATATGGTAAGCTAGTTGCAAATGGCTTTCAAACAATCCACTTTTCGGGCTGACCCGTGGCTCACTTGGGAGAGTGTGGTGCTGATAACACCTAAGGTCACGGGTTCGGATCCCATATAGGGATGGCTGGTTGGCTCACTTGGGAGAGCGTGGTGCTGAAAACACCAAGTCCCCTTACCGGTCATCTTAAAAAAACAAAAACAAATCCACTTTTCTTTATTCACTTGAGATGCCACTGGTACCATATGTTTTTTTTTTTTTTTTTTAAAGATGACCGGTAAGGGGATCTTAACCCTTTTTTTTTTTTTCCTTTTTGTCTTTTTTCGTGACCGGTAACGGGATTGCAACCCTCAGTGGCACGCCCGCACCGCGCTCAACCAGTGAGCGGGCCGGTCTCTATATGGGATCCAAACTCTTGGCGGGAGTGCCACCGTGCTCCCAAGTGCCGCACTCTACTGAGTGCGCCACCGGGCCGGCCCTTAACCCTTGACTTGGTGTTGTCAGCACCACGCTCACCCAGTGAGCAAACCGGCCATCCCTATATGGGATCCGAACCCGTGGCCTTGGTGTTGTCAGCACTGCACTCTCCCAAGTGAGCCATGGGCCAGCCCGGTACCATATGTTAAATTGGTATATGTGCTTGATCTTTGTTTTTATTTGTTTGTTTTGGAGGCTGCCAGGTGTGTGGTGTGATAACACCTTAACCTTAGTGTTATCAGCACCGTGCTCTAACCAAGTGAGCTAACTGGCCAGCCCTATATGCTTGATCTATTTCTTCACTTTTCATTCTGTTCTATTGATCTAGGGAAGGAGGTGCTTCCTATATTGTAGTGGTAAAGTATGAAGGCTCTGGCGTAAGATCGTCTGGGTGGTGCCTCAGTTTCTTTTCCTCATTTGTGAAATGGAGATAACAATAGTACCTATTTTATATGGTTGCTGTGAAGATTGAATGAGATAATGCATACAAAGCACTCAGCACAATGCCTGGCATGTAGTAATCAATCAATGAATGTCTGCTGTTGTGATGATCCCTACCTGCCCATTCCTATATCAGTAAAAGAGTAGAGTGAAATTGCAAAGAACATAGTTTTTTTTTTTTTTTTTTTTTTTTTTTTTTTTTTTTTTTTTTTTTTTTTTT